CACACACCCGCGTCCCTCAGCACCACGTGGGGTTTACACACGTAAATACTGCACGTCCGTAGCAGTTGTCACAGTAACTCGCTGGCGTTCACCGAGTCGTGTGTAATCGATGGCTCCGGTGCGCGGTACAGGTGGTACATCCGGGCAGGCCGTGGCTCTCGGGGTGCGTGTGTCCCGCCCCACTTGCTCCTGCCCAGAAAGGGCTCCCGCCGCGCGGGGCTGCCCAGCACGCGGGTGTGTTACGGGGAGCGCACCTGAGTGTCAGTAACATTGGCACCTGCATGCGAGCCGAGCCAGCCCGCAGCCCGCAGCCCGCGTGCGATGGACGCGAGAGCCGTGGATTTGCCGGCAGCGTGGGGTCCTGGCAAGCCCGGGCCGGGTCACCTGCCATCCCGGCTCCCCGCGGCTGAAAAGGGTGTTTCACGAGAGCGAAATCGTCTAGACTTGTAAAAACTTGCTCTTCGTTCTTTGGGGTAGTAGAAGAGAGGCTGGTGTTGCAAGAGGTTGAAAGGAAACCAGTGTAAATGTTAGGTTTGTTTCTACCACAGTCTCTGGATGTCTGACAGGTTTGCTGGCAAGAGAGGGGGAAAAGGAGTGTCATTGCTTGGGAGTCTTAAAAGGGTCATTCTGTACATAGCTGGTTCTGGTGGGCTTCTCCTTTTGTTTAGTGTGATCTGGAAAATGAAAATAGATCACTTGCAAAATCTCAATAGAAATAACATATTAAATGCCATCTCTCAAATAAACAAGGTAAAAAGGGGATAAATGATTACGTTAATAGATCACACTGAATATTGAATAGAATCAAAAGCTGAATCTAATTGCAGAGGGTATTAGGTAGGTGGGTGATAAAATGATCTACAAAAGTCAATGATGTGTGAAGATTTAGATGCTTAGGAAAATGTTTATTCACACAGAAGCTGCTTGAATACAGGGAAGAGCTGTGAATTAAATACCTTCGGTAAAAGGGCCTTGGAACCATTGTAGATAATCTCTGAAACTGTTTTCAGAATTTTCCAGTAAGTCAAGTAAGATTTAAAATTATTAGGATGCAGTTGAGAACAAAGAAAACATCACTGTATTTACAAGTAAATGTGTGACATATCCACAGTGTATGTTGGTTTGGTCACTTAAAAATCATTATTTTCATTAAAATAATGATTTTTAAAAAATATACTGAAAATGTCATTTGAATGATACAATGTAGAATATAGTCTCTTTTTCTGCAAACTGACTGAGCATATAAAGATTCCACTTTGGAATCAAAATAGCTGAATGGCTCTGAAACAGATTGACAAAATAATTTTGGTCTGAGCTTGTGTAGTTTGTATTCCCCAGCTCATTAAAACACTCTTGAAGCCCATGCAGGTGTTACAATGCATGCAAAGTTTAAGCATATGCTTACATTTGTTCTCATTTGGGAAACATTTCTGTAAGATGTTGGTTTGCTAGACTGTAGTACAGAAGGGAAGAGGAATTACTTTCCTTACTTACTTAAAAATATTCCATAAAAACTGAATGCTGTTTAACAGTTGAAACCAACATGCAATTCTATGTTGAAAGCTGTGCAGACAGTTAATGTGGAGAGGAACTCTAAAGAAGATGTTGATTAATTAGAAGTTGGCCAGTCTGCCAGAATTTAAGAGTATTCCTTGCTAATAGAAACACCCTTTATTAACATGTTGTAAATGCTGTACAGGGAATATTAATTAGAAATGTAAAAACCAGAAAATATTTTTCATTCCTTTGATCTCTCTAATCAAACACAGCTTAAGTTGGCTAATAGTCATCTTATTTACCATGTTCGATGTTAATTCATTTTATTTGTTTGATACTCACAGGGCCAAGCTGTGAAAGTATTCTGTGGTCATCAGCCTGTATTCCTGAGCTGGATGGAAATCAGGCATCGAGGTCACCAGGGTGAAAATACTGCAGAGATTAACAGACAGTTAGCAGAGAAACTTGGCATTACAGATGGAGAACAGGTTTGAAATGCAGTCTTTTTTTTCTTATGTAAATAAAGAGTATATTGCAAGGTACCTGAAAAGGTAATGAGTTACAAGTTAGCTATGACCTTCTTATTACATGTATTTAGGTGGTTGCTTTATTTATGCATGCTCATAGGAAAAGTTAGCCATCATGAAATGACCCAACATTAAAAGATTTGCTCATTAAATCGTTAACAATCACCTAAATAATGTTAGGATATGTTGTTGCAGTGTCAGAGCCATTACCTGCAGTGCCATTAATTTTAGGAAAATAATTCTTTCAAGCAATTAAACAATTTGGGAATTATTTCATAAGAATATTTTGCCTGGAATTGCAGGTGTTTTAAAGAAATTACTGACTTAATGCATATTTCTTCTTGTTTGACTTATTTGGGGTTTACATTTTCACCCCTTTTTTTCAGCCTTCACTGTGTGTTCATGGATGTCCTCTGTCTTTGACCGTGTATTTAAATTTATATCTTACCCATGGACACTGTTAAACTTTTTGTAAACAATTGTTTTCATTGGAGAGAAGTTGAAGAAATCCCCAAGAGACAGGCAGAGCTTTCTGTCATGAGACTATTTAAATCTCAACCTCCAAGGGCTTTTTTTTTAGGTTAATATGTAAAGATTTAAATGAACAAGAACAGAAAAATATTACTCTACACAATGTTAGTGTGCAGTGTATCCATGTACATCTCTCATGGAAAATGTTATTCAGCATGATAAAGACATCAGAGAATGTGGCTCAAAGCCACAAAGTCTTATTTTGTTTACTTTTTTAGCATATTTTCTCTAGAAATTATGTCTCTATTTGCAGAACTTTACAGTTTGCTAGTTCAGCCCTTTTTAGTTCTAGCAATCAATAGCCTTCAACAGAAAAAGAGTTGACAAAGGAAAGCTAAGAAAACCTCACCTGTTGCCTGGAAATAATTATCTGTACAATCAAATGAATACATGAATAATGAGGTAGTTTTGCCATCACTTTGGATTCAGGAATTGCCTGCTAGCTGTGTTTCATAATACTATGTTATTTTATTTGCTTTGTTGGGGAAAATACATTCCTCTCAACTTTTGCTTCAAACTGTGGACCTAGAGGAATTTAAAATAAACTGTTAGTTTTATAAAAGCTGACCTGAAATAAATCTCTTTCAGAGGACAGGTTTAGTTATATCTCAAGAAGAAGTGTTTGTGCTTTTCACATTCACTTCCATTCACGATGTGTTGAAGTTCCCAGGCATGCACAATGCACACCATTTCCAATCCATTCAGCGTCCATCATCTGCTTATGAATTGCCTAGTGTCATTAAAAAGATGTGTGTTCAAAGTAGCAAAAATGTATAATGAAGGAGATGTCAGTTTTCTAGTTGAATTAAAGATGGAGCTTTTATGTGTTGAAAAATAAGAAAGTAAATGTTTTGAAATGGTGTTACTTTTGCCAGGTATTTCTTGAACCCTGTTCTCATGTCTCCTCCTGTCAGCAAGTAGAAGTGGAACCACTCTCAGCAGATGATTGGGAAATTCTGGTAATAAAACCCTTTCCACTGTTAACATCCTTTTCTTACAGGTGACAGAGACTCTGACACATGCAGTTTTTTGCACAATGCCCCCTTCTTTTCAGCCCCTAAGGAAACACTAAATGTGTTGGGGTTTAGTTGTGTTTTATATTTCAAATGGTGTATTAGAGTTCTTGTCTTCAAGCAAATGTTAAAAATGTTTGCCGTATTTAATGGATAATGGTACCACATCTCCACAGGAACTGCATGCTTCTTCCCTTGAAAAACATCTTCTTGACCAGATTCGAATAGTGTTTCCAAAAGCCATCTTTCCTGTGTGGGTTGAACAGCACACTCATGTTTACATCAAAATTGGTAAGCAACCAGTGAAGGCTCCTGTGGCACCTCAAGTGAGCTGTTTTGCAAGAATAGATGCATTCATTGACCTGTTTTGTTCATACTCAGGTACACTGATGCCAGCAGCCCCCTATGGGAGATTAGAACCATGCACAGAGCTGCTTATATGTCCCAAAACGCGTGAACCTGAGGAAAACATCACCAGCACACCCTCCTCCATGGAACATGACATCTTGCTCAAAAGCTTTGTGAAAAGTAGCATGGAGAAGGAAGAAACAATAAAGGATCCTTTTGCCAAACAACCTTACTTAAAGCCAGGAGTCCTTGAACAGTGTAAGCCTGATGCAAACGTGACATTTGGCTCAAACGTTCTTTCAGATATATGGAATTTCGTAGGGAGCGTTTTTTCTCATACATCTGAGGAGAAACAAAAGACTTTGTGTGATAAAGATGAATTGAGCACCTTTAAAGACAAGCTGCTGAACTTAATTCACATGGATTCTGTTTTTAGAGTATGTCAGTCCCAGCCTCCCAGCGTGCAGAATGCATCTACCATTCATGCTTTTCTGAAATACAGTGCTGTTCATGTTTTTCCATGGAATTTGGAATTCATTGATTTGGATCCAAATCCTGTAGTATCTTATGGGAAAATTAATGAGCTACTTTCTCCAAGACAGCGTCATCAAGAAGCACAGCAAAATCTACCAATTGAAAAGCAAAAGCATTTGACCAGTACTCAAGACAAAAATAAATCTCACTCCGATAGCAGTCAAGCATCCAGTGAGGGATCTGTGGTTCAAATCGTTTGGAATGGATTTGAAGACCTAAAGAGTGTCATAGAATATGGCCACAGTGGGGAAGCCCTACATGTTGGAAGAGTTTGGGTCAGTTTGAGCACACTATCTTTTGGGCTTTTTATTGGATAATATTTTCTAATGGATAGTTGTGGAACTGGCTAAGTAATACACAGTTCATGTCGAACTCTCAAGTGTACTAGAATCGAATAGTATTTACTGGAGCTCTGTTTTGCTAAGCTGTCTCACTATGGAATACACTACTTCCCATCATCCTCCCAGATGTACAGTGTGCTTGGAGTTTCTGCACCCCTGACATTTTCACACCAAATGGGAGATATTCTTCAGTGTTTCTGGAGGGAATGCATGCTTTCTCCACGTTCTAATGGTAGCTGTTGTATTTGTGAGAATGTGGAAATCTATACTTGCATACATACAGTACTGCACAATGAGGAGCCTTTCATCAGCACTTTGAAATGTGCTTTGGACTCTAGGTGTCATCACACTGTAAAGTAAGGGGATCACATACCCTAACGCTACATGATGTTTGTGAGTCCTTTTGTATACTCTTTAAAATACAGCTTGAAAAAATTGAAATAATTGTCTTTTATATAGTTTAAACTAATTTAGTTTTTACATACTATTTTGCAAGGTGGTAAATGCAAATATGTGTGCAAATGCTAGTGGTGTGCAGACACTACCATTTCAGCTTGTTCTGCTAGAACTACAGCCTTTTTGTCTTCTTTCTTTCCTGGA